AATGAAATTTTTGTCTTTTCCTAAGGCTAATCTTAATTTTTATTTCCAGTTCCAGGCCAGCTCTAAGAAAGGAGTCAGTCGACTGGACAAACAGATGCGTAAGTTCACAGACATCAGGAAAAAAAGCAGATCGTCCCATGCTGTAAAGATCAGCATTGAAGGCAACAAAATGCCCTTGTGATGTCACACCAGATCCTCTTGGAGTCCTTCTGAAAGAAGTGGACCTAGAGACTCTCTGAAGATGTCTACATTTTTTAAAAGAACGTTGGGTGTTTTTTTAAAGTGTGTCTTCAAATTGTTGGTTCAGCTAGTAGTAACACGTTGTCTGAGGCTTTTGACTCCCTCACCCACCACCCAGGCTGTTGTTCATTATGATTGTATTTAACTCCAGTCTCCTGTGTCCTTTGTACAGACGGAACCATGTGTTGCTGCAGCCCTCAGACAATAAAATCTCTTTTGGATGTTGTGGGGCTCAGTGGTGCTTGTAGTTCAGAAGATTCCGGACAGCATGCTGGCCCCTGAAAGTGTACAGGGTGGGAGGGGGGGAGATATGTGAATATATTTTACATATCCACATGTACCTGCTGTGGATTCACAAGTGCAAATTACAAGTAGTTGGCTTAACAACAGCAGGATCCACTCTTCCATGATTTGTTTGGGACTGTTGAAGAAAATAAAATCTCCTGCTCTACCTTTGAAATCTAATCAGCACTACCCAATTGTCATGTTGTGACATATATGAGGGACAATCTGCTGGAAGTGCATAACTCTGTTCTTTGACTAAATTGATTTCAGTGGAACTGAGATTTATCTAACTCCTGTTGGATTTTAGTCTATACTTTTAACCTATGGTTGCACTAAAAAGTAAGGCCTTGAAAGATACCAGTGAGTATCCCAGAACCATCTAGAGCAGGGTGTCAAAGATACCGTATCGGGGCTGCAATTCAACCCGAGAGCAGCTGACTGTGCGGCTTCCTGTCTAATGTTGCAGCACCTTTTCCCCAGACTCTCCTATGAGAAGAGAGAGAGTCCATCCCATGGCACTTTGAGAGATCCTTGTTTCCATTTCTAACGGATGGCGCGCGTGGGGGGGGGGAACCTAACAGCACAGCTTGCATTCCTTATTAGTGTAAGGGAGCAAGAGTACAGCAGCTTCTTCATGACTAACAAAAGTTGTGACAGGTCATGAGCTTTCATGAGTTACTGCTCACTTGTCCTTATATCTTGGAGAGTGAAGTGATTTCAGATGCCAAAAGACAATAGCAGGCATTGAGAATGAGAGAAGAAACCTTGGTTTCAATTCAGTCCAGGAGTTTGCATTGTCTTGAGCTTCATAATCAGTTGCAATTCAACAGTCTCTCTAATCTCCCTTTGAAATTCCTTTGTAAGAGAACTGCTACTCCTAGGTCAGCAACTGAATACCCTGGAAGGTTGAAATGTTCCTCCACTGGTTTTTGAATGTTGTGGTTTCTAATAGCGGTAGAGAAAGTAAGAGTCCAGTAGCACCTTTAAAGACTAACAGAATTGTGGTAGGGTATGTGCTTTTGTGAGTTACTGCTCACTTCCTCAGACTTATTTCCATTTATTCTTTGCATCCTCCTAGACGGAATCTGGTACAAAATTGAGACCTAGGTTTCCTGTCTCATTACCAGTGCTGATATCTCCACCCCTCTGCATATCACACCTAATTTATATCTCTGATACCTTGTGTTACATCTTATGGCACACATGTCCTAGCCCGACCAAGTGAAATGTCAGATCCAGCCCTCGTAACAAATGAGTTCGACACCTCTGCTCTAGGGTTAAGTGCTATAGCATCCAGGCACAGGGGGTATGACTGGAATGGTAGGAATACACTTGGGCAGTAATGCTTTGGAAGATTTTTTTACAGCTTTAGTGTTTTGTTTCTTGACAACAAGTCCAGCCACTTGTGAATTTGTTGGTGGTTGTACTTGTGGATCATAATTGGATTTGTGTGAAGTCCTATATTCTGCTGGGATTTGTCTGTTCCAATGTTTCCAAAGCTGGGTGTATACATTTGTCTGCTGTGCAGATAATAGTAATGGCTACTAGACGTAATTATAAAAAGATTTACCATGGGGTTTTAGTGACTAATAGGATGCTTATAAACATTTTAGATAGTCATGAAATGTCCATAAGAACATTATCTATAAACAGAATTACTTGAAAAGATAGGGACCTATCCTCCAGCTAAATTAGCTCTTTGGAGTATTTTTTTAGCTTCTTTTGGAACAAATTCCATGACATTGCAATCTTTTTTTTTCCTTTTTTTTTTGCAAAGTGAAATTGAAATCATTTTCTGCTCTGTCGTTTTTAGCAAGATTATATGGATTAGGACAAGGTAAAATAGAGAGAAACTCTGCGGTAAAACATTTTTATAAGATCATCACAACACATAAACTGTGTTCAAATTTCTCAGTTCTGTAATTCTATTGAATGTGGCTCATGACTGCAATCTTTTTTTTTCCTTTTTTTTTTTGCAAAGTGAAATTGAAATCATTTTCTGCTCTGTCGTTTTTAGCAAAATTATATGGATTAGGACAAGGTAAAATAGAGAGAAACTCTGAGGTAAAACATTTTTATAAGATCATCACAGCACATAAACTGTGTTCAAATTTCTCAGTTCTGTAATTCTATTGAATGTGGCTCATGCCAGGCGTAGTGTAGAGAGAGGTATCCCCAGCTACTACTAGATTACACCTTTCTCTGAAGTAGCTGCTGCGGTTATTCTGATGTGTTATTTTCATTGTGGAAGCTACTTACAACAGCATATAGAAAGCAGTTCTCCAATGTAATCAATACAGTGCAAACAAATCTCAATATATATGGTAGTAAATTAAAAATACAAATAGTATCTCTCCTTATATATAATTGAACTAGAAATAAGGCCCGTTGTGGAAATAAATACAATGGGATCTAGAAAGAGGCTCTGGGAGAGTGCTCTGGCTTTGGGCAAACAGTGTCAGTCTGCTTTTAAAACATGAACCTGGGACCTGCACACCACCAGAATACAGCAGGTTCCATATGCAACTGACATTCCAACTGCCTTGCCGGGGGGGGGAGTTTGAGGTGTGGAATGGAGTGAAGTCCAATCAGCTTCCATATGCAAAAGACCAGGTTGTCGCAGCAGTTGTGGTGTGGGCGGGACCCGGGCTTTGCCTTCTGATTGGTGGTGATATATGCTGAGGAGCAGTGCCATCAGCCATACACTAAGGGAGTGCATTTTAGAATTAGAACTTTGGCACCCACTATTCAATTATATATAAGGAGAGATAGTGGGTGCCAAAGTTCTAATTCTAAAATGCACTCCCTTAGTGTATGGCTGATGATACTGCTCCTGAGCATATATTGCCCCCAATCAGAAG